GGGAAATTTAGCTCTATATTACTTAGTGTGCCTATAATTTATTATCTAGCATCCCATAAAATGAAATGTAGAATTGGACCTACAATACTTCTGCATAATTGTATTGAACTATTTCCCTTTTACTTTGACCTAAATACATTACTTTACCAAAATTAAAAAAAAACATAATTATAGTTAAAAAATAAATTTGAAACATTATTTTTGTTTTTATATCCTAAACCGATTTCTTTTTTTTGAAGAGGTCTCTTTTTAACCTTTTACGATTTTGCATCTCCTCTCTTTTCTCTCAATTTCTTCTCGTTTCACACATTTTCTTTTTGCGAAAAATGAAAAATCTGAAATCACCAAAGAGATTTTATTCGATTTGGTCATGAACCAATGAATAATAAGGTTAATGCCTACTATTTCATCAAATACTTTCGGTCTATCAAGCTATTTCTAGATAAAAATCTATAACACAAAAAAATCCTCTTCAATTCCCAGTTTAGTAAAATACTCAAATATAGGTTAAGTTATTTTCATCAGTTTTTGTATTTTATGTTTTATGGTAGTTGTTACTAAACAGCATGTTCGACCCTAATGGAGTGCATCATGTGCTTTGGCACAGGCCCCACAGCAGGGACCACAATATTGGTTAATTTTTTTTTGTAAAAAGACTCTAAATTATTTTAAAATTTGTAAAAAATACCCTATATTATTATAAATTTATAAAAAAATCCTAAAATTTTAATATATAATTACCAAAAATTTTTTTTTCACAGAGCCCATAATACTACTGGGCCCGGCCTGCTAAACAGCAACACAAAATTCAGATTGTGTTTGATGAAAAACCATCACTGTTCTTCTTGCTTGAGTTTGTTGGGGCTATGGGCTTAGTCATCAGTAAAAGAGGAAGAAGAGTGAGATCGCTCAAACAAATCTCCATACTAGTTAGATTTGTTTTGTTAGGAGAATGAGATTAGTCTTGATCGAAGATATCAAAAACTGAAATAATAAAGATAGATCCAATGAAGAGGATGAACAAGAGGATCCAAGGGAGTTTTCATCTTGTTCAACCTCTTATGTGTTAAAGTTAACATGTTTGCCAATCAGACTTTTAATTTTCCATAATTTTTCAAATACCTTAAAATCTCTCTCACAGCTAAAGTTTTTCCTTATTCTTGTTACATTGTTTTTTTTGTTCAAAAGCCAAAAAGACAATTTTTTTTTAAGTTTACAACCTTAACATGCTTTCTTTCAACTTATGCTTCTCTTGCGCCTGTGTCTTCTGCTTCTTTTGCGCATGTAATCTGCTTCCTTTCCTCTTTCTTACGTGCTTGCTCTTTTCAAAATGCAAGCACTGAACGGCTTTTGAGATCTTTTCAACCTTGTCGGTTACTTTTTCACGGACAAGTTCTAGCAATCCCCTCACCTTTTCCACTAAACTCTGCAACTCTTCTAGGCTCCAATGCAGAGATATGGAGTCGAAAAAAAGTCTTGTCAATATTTTAATCATTTTGTCAACTTCTTGTTTGATACCAAAGTTGGTTAAAAGTTTCAAACCCATGAGTTAGAGCGGTTCTTTAATCAGCAGTATTACTCC